TTAATTGTCTTACTATAAAATGACATACATATTGTTGACAAAGTATCACTATCAACTCAACTCCGCTAAGAATCGTTTTTTTTCAAAAGTAATGGTTTATTGTTGCTTATAGGTATACATTAAATTATCTATAACAGTGGCCGCAACCGTCCCCGTTATCCTAAGACGTCTTTTTAATTTTATAAATAACTATATGAATATATAACAATATAACTATATTATCACGTATGTACGTATGTATTGTCTGTACTTTGTGCCCCCCGGACATTTATAAATAAATATACTTAAATATAATTTAGATTGATTATTAATCGATCATTATAATATCAATTATAATTCATGTATCTAATAATTTCGACTGTAAGCGGAAGCGTAATCAAATAATCAAAAACCGATTAAGTCAATTATAAACGAAGAAATGTTTTACAAATAAGTTATTTGAAAATAAAATAATCGCGTAGCCCTATCCCGTCTATATATATAAGTACATGCTTATAAAGTACGTAAATGACAAATTTATGGGTTAGATAGTTGAACGTAGTTGTTTGGTTGGGTTCATGTTTTTTTTTTTTGATTGATTTCTTTACGGAAAAAATATATATCTGAAAACCTATTGGAGCACACGAAATATCTGTAACTATGCCATTATATCGATCGTCAAATATTGTAACACAGTGAAATGATATTGCATTATTTTTTTTGTACACATACAAAGTCGTATATTATATTAATATTTATATATATTTTACATATGTACGTTTATGTTTCCAGAGAAACGGGATAAATTTTACTTGTACGTGGGTGGCGGAGTGATCGGCGGCCTATTGTCAGTGCTTTTCGTCGTGGCCGCCAAGTTCATCTGGCAGCGTTCCAGGCGACGGCGTTCGGATAACAAACACAAGTCCGAAAACGCGAACCACGACATGTCAATCGACCCGAACGCGTTTGGTGATAACATTAGCGAAGTGGACGCCGACATAGATCTAACGGATATTACACAATTTCCCATCACCGTTATACCGACACAACAGTTATCGCCCAGTGAAGTAAGATAAATTATTACCAATTAGAACATTATAATAATTAAAATATGTATTATGATATAATCATTCCATAGTACTAATATAATATTATTGTTACGTTACGTCCGCTTACACTATTATAATACTTATAGTAAATGAGTGCGAAATACTATAGTGGTGAAAACTGTAGCTGCAATATTATTGTCATCCGATAAATTCCGACAGAGATAACAACATTCAGTGGGACAACCGGTGGCATGCGCAGTAGGGGAAGGGACTTTCTTGGTTATGGATACATAGAAAAAGTTTGACAAATTTTGGATTGATTTCCCATATTTCTATTCTATTTTTTTTTTTTTTTTTTTTTTTATTATTAAAGAAATGCGCTTTAATTAACACGACCATGAATCGGCACGTTTTTAAATAGTATTTATTTGAAAAGACATTGCGTATAACTGTTATCCTATAAAAAACACTTTTAATTGAACTATAGAAAGATCTTGAATAGATATATGTTTGATAATGTAATTTTTGGTAAACGATACATCGTTTGAATAGCATAGACTTGATTCGACTTAATATTCAAAAAATAATAGTATTTTCTACTGTAAGTACATTACGAAAAAACCATTTTAGTTGATAAAAGTTTAAAGAATATGACAATTCGTACTAATAACGATTAAAATAATAATTATTTAAATTACAATTATTGTAATTTAAAACTTGTCGATTCATATCGAATATGATAAAGAACGTTTCAAATAAAATCAGATACGAGGTCGAGATTCTTTTTTTTTTTTTGTTTTTGCTTAGTTTAAATTGTAAATTTTTATACATTTTACATTTTTTCAAAATTTATAATTTTTTGTAATTTTACAAGTTTCGTCAAAATTGTAATTTCAATATCAATTATTATTTAAAATAAATCGTGTGATATCGTGTCAATTTTTATTTAGATTTTGAGCGTTTCTCTTATATACGCAGTAAAACTCATGTTATCTTTTTATCACATTTCCGAGTTTTTAATGATCCCAAAAAGTAAATTATTTAAAAAAAACGGAAAAACTAAGATATTAAAAATGTTAAATAGGTATATAAAATTTAAAAACCCAAACATGTATTTTGAAATCGTATATCACCGTGAAAAATATATACTATAACAGAAATATTTAAAGACAATAAGTGGTTCTTTCGATTATTTCGTATTGAATTAAAAAAAGAAAAGACGATTTCGCAAAAACCCGTGCTATATTTAATACATATTTTCGGTAGAACGAGAATCTACCGATGTTTCCGGTTTTTTACCATTATAAAAAAAAGTACAAGAAATGACTTCCCTAACGCACAAACTTACTACAATGTTCTACAAGAAAGCTCCAATGAAGTTTTTGATTGTATCCAATCTTCTGGTCAATAACTTGTTCACGGACGGTAAAAACAAATTATAATTCGTTAAAAGTATTTGAAACTTAATTTTATTTCACTTTTTACATATATTAAACATTTAAACAATGCATGATATACTATATAAATTATTATATAAATAGTTTGTAATTGCAGACTTAAACATCTATATATGTATATTTAAATATTAAACAATGTTACTTATATTATTACGTTAGTCGTGTTATTTGGAGACTTCTAAATTGGAAAAGTTTACAAAATGTTGTTATATGGTAGCTTAACTATAGCTTATATAGTTATAGCTATAACTATAGCTATATTTTATATAACTATAGCTTAGAAAACCGCTAATATTTTTTCGGGAGTTAACTATAAGTGGGTAATGATTTTGTAGCAGTTTAGTTATATTATGTTAACCGATATTTTCACAAAGGTTATTTTTGTAGGGGCTTAACGCATCAGCCCTCAAATAAACCAATTCAAAAGTGTTATACGAACGAATTTTAAGATTTTAAGGCCATTAGATTTTATTTTTTTTTTAAACTACAGTGACAATAATAAATAAAACAACCGCTGTCCTAGTAGATTGTTGATTACATCGTTCGGGAAAATTCACTTGCTGAAATAAACGTACTTATTCTGCGTATAGCGAAAGAGATATTTTATTTTTAACGGGTAGTGATTGCGTTTAAAATTTAATTCTCCGAGGTTTATAAAACAAAAAAAAAAACTATTATATATATAATATGCCTTGTACGAGAATTAAATACCCAATATAAATAATCTATTCCCCTGACCCGTCACAAAGAAATTTAACCCTTTAGATAAAAAGTACAAAGTAGGTATAGTGATTTAAAGTTTTTAATGAAAAATAAACTCTTCAAACTAGTTTGCGCCTCTTCTCCTCACCTGTTACTTAATTTAAAATGTGTAGAGCTATACACATTAAGGTGGTCCTTATGTTTTTTTTTTTTTTAATTCCATATTGGATAGACATCAATTGGCTCTAAATAGTAAAACAAATTTCTCTAATTTGTTTAGATTTTTATTGTATTCCCTGTTTTCATGTTTAACTAATCATTACATTTATAAAAATTACAATTCAACACAAATTTCTAGTGCAGTGTAATGGCAGTTTGGAATAATATGAAAACCGAATACATACTCGTCAAACGTTAAAAAAAGAGAATTGAATAATAGGGAAAAAACTTTGTATAAGGTATTGGACAATAGATATTTATACGTAATATTTCATCTTCAAAAAACAAAAAAATTTGTATGGTTATAAAAATCAATATATATATTATTTTAAAATTGTTAAATTCACTCGAAAATTTACTGTGAATTGTATTTTGTGTAGCCAATTGATATATTGGATGAGGTTTATTATATCTTCTGACACTTTATTAAATTCGTATATTTTTCTAAACACACTCGATCCGTATATTTTCTTATTATAAATATAAATTCAACTAAGAAACAGTTGGAGACGAAGAAAATGAAATAAAAATTCAAAAATTTAGGTCAATTTTTTTTATATATATATTATATGTATATAATATAATTATTACTTATACTGAAAAGGCGCACATTATGATATAAAGACCGTTATTTATATATATATGTACATACTCATACATGTGCACGTGTACAAGTACCTACTATTGTAAAACAATATATACGGAGTACGGACCTGTACCTATAATTGAAATGTACAAACAAAATATATGCAGATTAAATTTACCCGGAAAAGTTAGTGAATGCGTTCCGATTATAATATATGTAAGCTAATAGCATTTATTCAGATATTTGCGTGAGTTTTGTCTATAATATGTACAGAGTGATTCTTTTATTATGAACCAGCAATTTCCTTGGAGGATTTTAAATAAATTTGATTTCTGTTTTTTAATCATTATGGAATCATTTAAGCTTTATTTTAACATTATTTTCAATTGCATAGCTCTATTTCTTCTTACCTGAAATGAATATCCTCTTTGGTTCTTTTAAATAGCAATCCTCTGCCTTTTCAAATACAGATTCAAATAGAAAATATTTTTCTAGACATTTTAATATGCATAAGACTATAATTTAAAATTTACCATTTATGAGTTATAACAGTTTAAAGTTTAGACAGGAGTAGGTATAGATAATGAATTACACATCTATTTTTAAATGATGAACTTTTAAAGAATAAAATATAAATCAAATTCACTAAAAATTCTCAAAGAAAATGACTAGTTCATGATAAAAGAATCACTCTGTATACATATATTTACACCGGCAACCTCTGTAAATTTTCTGCTTAAAACGTTTATTTAACTATACATAAGTGCATTCGTTTTTTCCCATGAAAAGTACTAAAACGCATCAGCTGATACAGGCCAATGCGAGATTATTTGAACAATTTGATTTCATTAACTAACGGACAAAATAATACTTAAATTACATCATTAATAAGTACGATAATAGCGTGAGCTTGATAATAATAATTTTGATTGGCACTTATTATTTTTTACTTTCAAAACATCATATTTATTAGTATTTTGCTTAGTTCATCATATTATGTTTAAACGGAGATCTGTACTCGTATGTAAAAGTGGCGTAAGCGTCAGTAAGAAAAGCTTCGTCATTAAAGAACATGATTATAAATATTACGAGATATCCTATGAGGAAGGGAGAAAATTAGGTGACTAGAAAGCAATGCTATGGAAATCTCAAGACTTCTCGTAGTGGAAGAAGATTCGAGAAAGTTTTGTAGTCAGAAACACAGAGAAAAATAAATAAAGGACGGCCAAAAACTTTTAAAAAACAGTATGAGTAGCATGGAATAGCATGAAATGGGTATAAAGAAAAAGGGATGTCGTTTTCACTGTTATACATTTAAAAATGCAGCGATTGGAACTAAAATTACTTTATAAAAACCTACTAATATAATAATACACTTTTTAACACTTTTGAGTTGATTAACGAAATCGTGAAAATCGCCCAAAAATGTCGTATCCAATTATTAACAAATTGAAAATACTATATGCATAACTGTTTCTAGAAGATGTTATTCATAACGAGATTATAATTTAATTTAATTTTCTATACGCATAACGTTATTACATCAATTAAGTTGAGAGGTTTACCTCTCTTTCCATTATTATCAATGTTGTATACATCCCGAAACGATTCTTCACTCGTTACTGCTCTAAAAAAAAATATATACAAATTATAGTCAATTCTTTTTAGTATTCTTAATCATAATATTTGTTTTATCGATTTATTTACTGTTATCACATTGCATAATTAATTTTTAACTTAGTTTTTACTATATCTATGTTCTATTGCATTACATTATTCTCTCATAAAATATTTAATTTAAAAAAATAATTCTAATACACCTATTCTAGAATTGGTTTTAATAAAATTAAAATATAATACAGACAAAAAAAAGCATTATCAAATTCAATGTTTAAAATTATGTTATGAGGTCCTTAAAAATTTTGTGGTTTTAAAATTACAGAGAAATATCGAAAAAAATCTTAAACTAAAACTGCACCGTCGATATTCAATTATTGGGATATGAAAAGTACACTAACTTTGCTAAAAAAAAAAAAAAGAATTATGTACAAAAAAATAAATATCATGATATCAAAACCAATTATTTCTTCGTTCCAATCAGAATCTAAAATTACCAAAACAAATAGCTGACTATCCTTCAATATCTAGAGTTACTTACCGTATTATGTATAATATGCATTTTCAAGACTATCATCTCGTATTCCTATATCGCGTTAAATTATTATTATTATTATTATTATTAAGTCCAATATTATGGCGTTTAGATTTGTACTATAACATATAATCATTTACTTATACTTCAGACGAGTGGTAGAGAAATAATATTGTAAATTATCATGGTACAGCGGTAACTACTCTGTTTTTACATTAAGTTTTCCTTGTTTCCTATTTATATTTATGAAAGAGCGATCATATTTTCTACTATATGCATTACACTTAACGGAACGCGGGTTAGGGTAAGGATAGATGAAAACGTGGTAAAAGACTCCTTTCTAAAATAACTATATTATTGTCTTTTTTTTTTTTTCTTTTTGGTTTTGCTCATTTATTAAGAAAACTACATTCTTACTCACTAAATAGATTTAAAAAGCAACAAAAAAAGTGTTCTTGACTCATTTTTATTAAAGCAATATTTCTGGTAGAAAACAAGTGTGTACAAATTAAAAACAATGAAATCGTGTGTGGCACGCCTTATTTTTTTTTAATAATCACATTATAGTAAAACCAAGAGATTTGACTTAAAGAGTTTTTAAAATATATTATCATTCAAATTATTACACATAAATTATACTGTCGTTTAATTGTTCGTAGCCTAGCGATTACGCGAAATCTTTTTTTTGACATTAGCATCTCTGAATTGCTGCATTACCGTATAAGTGACAAAAACCGAATGAAACAAAAAATGAATTATGACAACAAGCACAATAAAAGCGGTCAGATTTGTTTATCGACACGCACAAGGTGATATAAGATTTAAAAATATTACTGTAAAAACCAACAACAATTAATCATCATTATCCAGTTATATTCGGAAAACAGAATATTCACATTTATGTAGTTTTTTTACAAATAATCGAGGGTATTGCAGAGGAACATCATTTATTTCAACTTATCAAGGTTTAGACTTATTGACAGTGGCGGCGCCAGGATTTTTTTTTAGGTGGGGCCAATAGGAGGCCAACAATTTTAAAGTAAGGCCAAAAAAAAAAACAATACTGATAGGTAAATATTAATACTTCTAGTTAATAAACTATTAAATATAGTTTAATACTAGACCATACTTAAAACACATTCAATATAAGTAGCTATGAATGTATAGATTATTACAAACAAAATTATCTCAACAACCAAATATAGAAATATTTTGAACATACATAATAACTATAATAATAAATTCTATCATCACAAATTTAAATGAACTCTCATATTATATTCTGAGATGGTATAGCTGAATTTTGTCTCATACACCATTACATAGAAATGTAGGAACATTTAAGTATAAGAAAAAAATGTTTTAATTACAGTTTTAGCATAATATACTTTTAGGAATTTGAAAAAAAATTAAAATACACATTTTTCTTATTTTTTAAATAAAAACGGTTAGATGAAAGCAAACTAAATTAAAATAATCAATAACTGAAACCTAAATACACTTTTTCACATACAATTTTTTAATAAAACTAGAAATTAACAAAATAAATGAATTGAAAAAGTTTATTTAAATATACAAAAATGTTTAAGTTAAAATCCAGGCTTTATTGATTAGAACCACATCACTAAGAATTGAAAAAATTGCAATACCTATAAATACAAGTGGGTTCTAGGAGTGTTATCAATTACCATGTAATATATAGGAGTATTGTGTAGTACCTACTACCTAAATACCTAATCTAAGTTATACACGGTAAACATTATTTCCTACTTATGTAAAATAATTATATTATTATATTAAAGGTTACGCCAGTGGTAGAGCCATTAGTAGGGCATTTTCAGATTGGGCCATGACACCACCACTGCTTATTGAGGTCCAACTGTTCATAGTAATTTAAGTAGTAAATTAATTAGTTATAATGATTTAATTTAAGTAATACCGATATATTATAACAAATAATTATTAGATTTCTAACAAAAATAAAGCAAAAAGTGCGGGTAGGGAATTTAAATTCCCAATACCACCCTCAAGGATACAATTCCACAAGTTAGAACTGTTTTAACTATATTTTTAAAAATTACGTCATCCATGAATTTACAAAATATTATTAAATTAACATTGTTTGTGAATCTTCTAACTCTAAATATTACCTAATTTCCTACAATTTTAAAATAGTTATATTTTGAATTAATTTGAATTTAACATGTTAAATTCATGACGTTTGCATATATAAGACAATAATTACTGTAGCTTCTTTTTAAATTATAGTTGACTGTATACACATTTACTAACACACTGTATAATTTATACTAAGTTAATTTACTTAATTTTTTTCCTCTATTTACTTCCATAATGAGTGTCTTATACTAATATAATAATAATAATAACTATGGACAAGAGCCGACACAACACACGTGCGACAATCAGCCCCTACATCCCCGACATTTGTGATGCCGAAGTTGTCCAAGAGATGCTGCAGACCACCGAAGCAAGTAATTGAAATCCCCCGCGAACTGCAGCATTGCCATATTCCTGCAACTCTACCTAGAACATAATATATAATTATCCTTCGACCTTATTAAATCTCCCGTACACCGAATTCCACTACGAACTTTGCTTTAACTTCAGGGCCAAACGCTAGTGGAATTTCATTAGATAGGTACCTATGACTGAAAAACAAAAGCATGCAAATTAAACAACTACCTACCGACCCGCAGTATATAATACATTATTAATCTTCTTCGTCTTATTTAAAACAATAAAAAAAAACCTGATTTGACATCAAAAAACAATAATCGACTATTTTAAAATTTTCGTTTGTCCGTTTTATCTCTAACAACCATATTAAAATTAATCTAGCTAAACACTTTTCCAAATCTGAAAACAAACGAATGGATAATATATCAAACCTATGCTGACACCATCTCGTAGAGGCAATTTACAAGACCATTTTAAAGTACAATAACAGTTAAAACTTTTGATCACAAAAATTATTTCATATACGTTTAACACATACAATTTTATATTGTTTGACAATATACCCTAACCTAACCCTATCTGTTTTTTTCTTTACTAAATCTAGACGAGTCGTATAATCTACCAATCTACGGCCGATAAACATTAAACCAAAAATATTTTCCACCGAATAATCAATATCATCACGCTACTATATTTCGTATCGGTCTTCTATTATTTTCGTTCCATTACGCCTTTTGAAGTTATAGGCATGATCAATGTAACATACTGGTCCACCGGGACGCTACGGAAAAATTCCCCATAAATTAGAAAAAGAAGTTTTAATATACGAGAGAAATTTAATAAGTATAGTAAAAAAAGACGGACATACTTCGCACGTGGGCAACTGTTATAGGTGAGAAGTTGTAAAGGTAGTATGGAGGAAATTTAATGTATATCTATACTCAATAATTAACCATTTCTAACGAAAAAACGATTTTGAGCGGAAATCGGTTGATAGTTTTATATATAAATTATATTAATAAATTTATTGGGAAAAATCCTGGGAAAATTAAAAAATTATCTCCCTAAAGTACATCCTCAGTCAGATTTCCTTTTAGAAATAATGTTATTATTGTAAATCAGATCAAAATTTCTGGTAGAAACGTTGTTCACAGATAAAAAATTAAACATCATTGTATCAACTTCCTTACTCCACTCAGAATCTAAAATTTTATACCATGGAGTATTTTCATTTTTATTTGTTTAGTTGTAACAGATTTACAATTACTTTGACTGACTTAATATGTTCAAAGTTTAAGTTTTACAAATCTATCATGTTCGTATAATTGTTGTATAGTTTGTTTAGTAACAAGATGTTCATAAATTATATCGGAATTTCGTTTATATACCAGGTGATTCATTTAAGTGGGTACACTCATTATCTCAGAAAGTATTAACTTTTTTCGGAATTTGTTTTCTAGAACATTTAAGAAATAAGTGACTCCACAATTTTATATTTGTGTTATTTTTTTATCACACCTATTTTTGGGGTCAAAACAACTACCTACTTTTGATTTTCACATGGTAACCTATATTAAAAGTCCATAAATAGATTGAGTATTAGTTAAAATAAATTTCAGCTTGTTTCTTAAATGTTCTAGAAAACAAATTCCGAAAAATGTTAATGCTTTCCGAGATAATGAGTGTACCCACTTAAATGAATCCCCTGGTATATGGTTAGGTAAGCACAACAAAAAATATAAAAAAAAATCGTATGAGTACTAATTAATGTACTTAATGTTTTCCCTATGTATTCTCTTCTAATTTAAAAAAATTACGGTTAACATAAATGGATAAATGTAACAAAATAAATGTATAATATAACCATATCGTTACTTGTATAAGATATGAATCCCAAAAAAACAAGAGAGGGTTTATACAAAATTAATAAATTACCATATCTGTGAATTTCAGTACGCTGCAGTCTTGAAATTTCTTTTCTTTTATTGTATAGGACCCCGGAGCGTTAAGAACAAAGAGTAATTTTTAAATGGTCTTACAATTTAATTGTACGAAAATATACTTTTCAAAAACTTCAAACTTGTTGTTTGTTCTTTATTCAGTACGCATAAATAAAAATAACGAAATAAAAATGAGTTACGTTTTTTCTTCTTTTTTCCTTTTTTTTTTTTTTTACAAGTATTTTAAGTGTTATTTTCCTTGCATTAAATTGTTGTACTTGATCAATGAGTTTTTAATGTTTTCAAACAAAATAGTCGTATACTTTCCTACTTCTGTACTTACTTTAAAATATTGTACCAATATTAATAATTTTTTCAAAAAAAAACTCTATTATAAACGAGATGGAAATTGTTATATCAAACCTGATCATATTTAATTTCTTATTTCTCTTACATCCACACAATAATTTACTGAAAATATAACCCGTATTTTAATATTGTCAACAATTGAATGACAGTAATATTTTTCTAATACCGTATAATGGTTTCTATAATAATACGCTATCACAAAAATAACGAAATAAAGACGTGTAACATTGTGACATTAGTACGGGGAAAATATTTCCCGGTCTAAATTTGTATTCCATTCTACTCCTATATACAAAATTGCTAACATTATAAATCGGAGTAAATTTCTGTCAGAAAAATTGTCCACAGGAAAAAAGAAAGCCATAATATTTTTAGCTAATACTTACATTTTTTAAATTTTCAAACGTTTTTTTTCAGTTTTTTTCATTTGATAAGACAACTCCAGAGAAAATCAAAACACAACCTCTGTAAAGTACCTACCCAGAGAAGTTTCTTTTATAGAAAATTTGCTATGAGTTGAAACAAAATTGCTGGTAGAAAATTGTCCACAGAAAAAAAATCGTAATAATATAATAATATATATTTCGTACATTTTCTCGTTTTTCCTTAGATTTTTTTTCAGTTTTTTGCATTCGAAGAGAAAACGCTTAAAAAAATCGACCTCTTTAAAGTACCTTCTCACACCGGTTTTCTTTCAGAAAAGGTTCTAAACGTAAAAATCGGAGCAATTTCTTTGGTAGAAAAAGTTGTCACAGAAAACATCTTTGTAAAACCATAAGTTTCTTCGCTCCACTCAGAATCTAAATTATAACTAGTTTTAGTTTTATGTTAGTTTGATTTTGACTTCAATATTTAAGTTTATTCCCGATGTGGTGTACACAAACTAAAATCTTTTAATTTCTTAGTTTTGTTATTTTAATGATTAATATTTTTAATTCATAGTTTATGCATTGAATATAAACTGTTCCGGTGTATACAGAATGTCCTACAGTGTTATCCTTATGCTAATAATATTCTGTCATTATTAATTTTTTTTTAATTTTCTCCAACCGGGTTTTGTGGAGAAAAATTAAATTTTTACTTACATCTCATAATTATTGAAAAAAATAACTTTTTTATTTTATCAATTTTTAAAATTTTCAAAATAGCCTTTTTGTAAAAGGTATTATTCTTAAAATTTCAATGTAGCATACATTCATATTCGATCAATAAATTCTTAGTTATAGCCGTTTTAATTTTTAGAAAATTTACATGAAAATATTTAATTTTAAATAGAATAACACGTTATGCAAAATAATTAACTTTTAGCACACGGTAATTACTTTTCTTCTATTGAATATTAATTATTTTCACACCACTATAATTAAGAAACTATTAATTGGATATGGATATATGATAAATTAAATTTTTTCGTATAGTATGTATGTGTATATATATTACAAAATGGCTATTTTCAACATTTTGAAAAGTGATAAAATACAATTTTTTCTTCAATAATTAAGGGATGAAAATTAAATTTTTCTCTACATATGTTTCCCTCTTGCGCAATACCATAAAAAAAAATAAAAGAAATATTTACTGAGTTATTAGCATAAGGGTGACATTGTACGACAGCTATATTTCTAACAGCTACTTTCTCCAGCCATAGACAATAGAGATTCTCCAGACAAGTAAACAAATTCATCCAACTTTTTTATTTTTTATCATATATTGGTGATCCTAAATAATTAGTTGGCGATCTTCAAGTTGTTAAACACTAAAGTACTATTGGTCGAAAAATTCACATATTTAAGGTATGGTATTTTTTATACCGTACTTTATACCCGATCAAATAATTTTTTTACTAATCAAAAAATTGATGTAGGGGGAAAATAACACATTTAGACTACACACATATAATTTGATAAAAATAAATACCAAATAGATATTTTTTAGAATTTGTAATACTGGTTTTTCCTTCTGACGTAAAATACTTATCGACGATTGGAATACTGGTTCTTAAAGTTCTAAGATATAGGCTACATATTATTTACCGTAACCACGGTATCACAAATAGAGTTAATAACAAACAAACAACATTTGAAAAATACAATCATTATATTGATCACACGCAATTTATATAAACTAAAAGATTTAACAATTTTCAAAATGTCCTTTCATTACCAGTTCCAAGCAGTCGGCGTGCTGAACGTAAAATCGAACATTGTTAGTTTTACGGTAGTGTCCGCAATGGACGGTCACGAGGTAGCCTCTTCGATTAAACGGATGTCGCTGATAACGAAGGACAGTCCGGGATCATGCGACCGAGGCATAGGCAAAACACAAAAAATAGATACGATGAACGACGTCAACGAACATAATCCAACGGAACTGCCGCCGTTTGAACGCGGCCACGTGGAACAGGATCCGGGAAACATTTGGAAAACGGTGATGGCGGTGATAGAAGATACGATAGACGATATGTACCATAAAGGGCTACCTATCACGTACATCAAGTCGGTGGGTATAACCAACGAGATAGGCACGTTGCTGGTGTGGCACTCGGAAACGAACGAGCCGCTGCACAATGCGATACACTGGACCGATTCAAGAATCACTCATAGTAACCGCGGAACGGCCTCCGCCATAGAATGGCTGCTCCAGAATTCACCGGCGGTCATCTCTGCTGCTAACAAGTGCAGGTTCGGTACGTTGGATACGTGGTTGCTGTGGAAGCTTACTGCTGGTGAGATGTACATCACTGATATGACCAATGCGTCGTACACCCGGCTGTTTGATATAGCCACGTTGAATTGGGACATGGACGAATGCCGAGCGCTAGGGCTGGCCAAATGTTCATGGCCAACGGTCCATCGTCGGCCGAATCACTACGGCATCATTCTCATCAGCCGATTGCTCGGCGTGACCGTCAATGCTGTCATGGCGCGTCCAAATGCTGCACTGTTCGGGCACCGGTGCTATCGATCTGGACAAACCGTCTTGACGCTCGACGTACTCACATCCGTGGCCATTAGTTCATTCGGATCCCAGGGAAGAGTACCAAAGCCATTTAATTCTCCACACAAACCGTGGTTAGTAGTGGGGTACTGGGAGCCAAACGAACCGTATCCGGTGCTCGGCATGGCGACCGCGTCTGAGGCTAACGTCGTCATGCAGTGGCTGAAGAATAATTATTTAATGTCCGTGGAAGAGTGCATTAACACGTATGCTAACGCCCATCCGTCCAGTCAACAAGCGATCCTAGTACCTGCATTCGGCGGTCTACCGATGCCGCCTTACGGGCGACCAAACGCTCGTCCCGCTATTATAGGCATTTCGAAGCCGATGGGTCACGATGAGCTGATCACAATGGTAGTCGAATCACTTTGTTACAGCGCAGCCGATATAGTGCAGTGTTCCGCCGACGGTAGGCCAACGGACACCGTGTTCATAGACGGACCGTACAGCAATTTCGGCCCATTAACGCAGCGTCTCTCGGACGTTTTGGGCACTCGTTTGATCCGGAATAGGTGTGACATGGCCATTGACGGCGTGGCCCGGATGGTCGCCTCGACGATCAATCTTAAATACAGGTCACACCATGAAATAATCGTTTATGATCCGATTTCCACGGCCGAACAACGTTTGGTTTGGTCGAAGATGTGGAAGGAAGCCATACGCAGGAGTGACGGTTGGGCGGCACCGGAAGAGGACGAGTTCACGCCGTCGCGATTTTGTCGTAACACCGTACAAACAGTTAAATCGTGCGCTATCGGTTGGGTAAAATGGATAAAACAATTATTTATTTCATAACGATTACAGTACACACACGCACACTGTTTGGGTAAAAAGAACAACTAATTTTTTTTTGATGATTATCGATTAGGTTAGTAACCATAAGAGATACATTTTGTACATACCGAGCAATCTTATAAAAGCGATTTTATAATTTTATAATAGGTATTAAAAATGTAAATCACTATTATCACTCACTAGTCCCTTTATTCTTGACAATTTCGGCATTGAATTTTTTCTCTATATTTATATGGCACTTTAAATTTCACTTTAGTATATAATAGTTGATAAATTTTAAAAATGTTTGTGTGAGAAAAAAATTCTAAGTTCACAAAAAAGAGAAAGAGGCGTTAGTCTTTTGATTTATGAAGGGCGTTAATGAATTTTCGTAATAAGAATACGATATTGTTTAGAATTTATGTAGTACCGCTATATAGTGGAACGTTTCATACAAAATCAGGAAATTCACTAAATTTAATAATTTTTGTCGAAACTGGTTTAATTTAGATTCTGAGCGTAGGAAGATAGCTATTGGTTTTACAATGCTGTTAAATTTCTTTGTTCTAGTCTGTGGACTTTTTCCAAGTAAACTTCCCAACTAATCTTTCCAAATTATCACATATAAAAGTGGCCGCATACATGCCCATTATCAGCTCTTTATTAAATTTGAATTTATTTATGTTTTAATTAAGTATAATATTTTCCAGAAAAAAGACTATTTTGTTTTTATGTTATTATTTGCATTTGAATTTACGTACAATTAATTTTCTGTAGGCATATCACAAAAAATAAATTTTTTGTTTTGTATTTATTAATACTGGTTTTTCGTATAAAAACATATTTTTTTAAATTAAATGGATATCTTGCACCAGCATAAATAATAATTGTTGATATAACCAAAAAAAAATCATTTTTATCGAAGTTATTTGAAGTTAAAAAGGTTGTTAAGATTAATATTTTTGAACTAAAAATTATTTACTGTTTTGATTTTTATAAGATGTTAGGATTTTAAGTACCAACCATGAATCTTTAACTCTCTATTTATATTTACTTTATCCATCAAAACCTTATTT